CCATAAAGCCCTCGACTATTAGGGCTGACACTGCTGTAATCCCGCATTGGGAGCTGCGTCATGTGCTCGAGGTGTGTCCAGGCTTCAACTAGCAGGGCTGACACTGCTGTAATCCCGCATTGGGAGCTGCGTCATGTGCTCGAGGTGTGTCCAGGCTTCAACTAGCAGGGCTGACAACATGCTGTGATCCCTCACTGGGAGCTGCGTCTCGTGCTTGAGGCATGTCCAGGCTTCAACTAGCAGGGCTGACACTGCTGTAATCCCTCACTGGGAGCTGCGTCTCGTGCTTGAGGCATGTCCAGGCTTCAACTAGCAGGGCTGACACTGCTGTGATCCCTCACTGGGAGCTTCGTCTTGTGCCGTAAGGCGTGTCAAGGCTTCAACAGAATGGGCTGACAACATGCTGTGATCCCTCACTGGGAGCTTCGTCCTGTCCTTTGATCCGTGTCAAGCCCTCAACTATCAAGACTAGCACTGAGTTATGATCCCGCTTGTCAAGACACTCGCTTTTCGCGACGCTAGGCGTGTTGAACTTCGTCTCATGTTCGGCGTGTCGAGACACGTTGTTTGTGTGTCTGGCATGTTTGGCTCTCTGCTGCCGTGCCGAGGCTCCTTTTTTACTGCATCTGATCGATCATGTGGAGCCTTGTGCCTCTCATAGCTGGCGTGTCAAGCCTAATCCCGAATTAGTTGTTCTAAGCCTTCTTTGTCTAAACACACTGAAGTAATCTTTATTGGAAAGCGACGTCAAAGGTTTTTTCTAATGAGATAGATGTTTATGTTTGCAAGTGTTGATATCATTATTATAAAACTCACATAGCTAGTTTCCTAACTTTCCGCTTCCCATTTCATTTTTATACAAAACCTTCTTTTAGCCCAGTGATGCACTTTGGATTTTTTCTCATGGAATTGTCTTCTGTATATTCTGTTTTTAATTTCTTTTTAACATCCGACAAAAATGTATCTGTTGCAGTGTCGCTCTCTCATTATGTCTGAATGCTTGACTAAGAATCACTCCCGTTACTGAACTACCTCAGAATACCATGATTAGTTGTATGCTTGCGCATAATCGTTCATGACGTACACTTGATTCGGTCCTTTTAAAAATAGCAGAAAGAAGAATGTGATGGAAATGGCATGCAATTGAATTATGCTAGTCAAACTATGGAATGAAAATATCACTCATTGGCTTCAGGCAGATCGGCTTTGAACATAATAGATGCTATTCTGCATCAAATTGATCCTGAGAGGCTAATGTGGTTTGTAGTTTTTGCTTGATTCGTTCGTTAACGGTATTGTTGTGTATGGCAGTATGGACAATATTGATTAAACTTTAATAATAACTTTGTGCGTCATTGCCTATAACGCCCCGAGTGATGCAATCTCCACTAAAGCGGCGCATTCAATTGCAGTTATTTAATATGAGAAAGAATATTTTAATAGGTACGCGTGATCACTGCATGCCCTGAACAGAGAAAGAAAGCGCTCAAACAGGTGATGTATTAGTATATGCAATTGGAAATCAAAGATAGAAAGAATAAGTTAGAATGATATAGGTACTAGCGAGAACTAAAGTTCAAAACAAAATTTAATGGAGCTAAAGTCCCAATCTAAAAGCATGCGAATGCAATTGGCAAAGACTGATGAATGTAGTCCGGGTCCATCCTGGCAAATAAATGTGACATACATGTATAATTCCATGCATCGTCTGGACCATGCCTGGATATGAACCGAGGGATAATGGCAGGCTTGATAAGCATGCAAGGAAGTACGAACTGAAACCAAGTGGCCGTGGGCCCGTGGCAGACTTGTAAGTTCATGACCCGAAATGCATGCGTAGAGTACGAGTAGGCACGGCGAGCGAGGTCAAGGTTCAAAGTGCATGTGGCGGCAGCGTGCGTGACTGAACCAGAGGTACGAACCCTGCTGAAAATTATAACCGCATTACCATAAGCCCCTACGGTGCCCGATGTACAACCGTCCATGATTTGCCAGCGCATAGTGGATGGTGAAAGAAATCCGATTTGTATTGGATTGCCGCAAGCCGTTCTCGATGGCTACTTGATAGCCTCTGGATTGATTGCGAGTGACCTCTGAGACACAGTAATGTGGATTATAATCAGGTCATTTCTTATCAGATTTTTGACGACGACGACGAATCAACGATGTTAGTGAATGGAGGCGGGGCTTGACAAGAACGACCTCAGCAAGCGAGCAGCGGTAGCTGCTGCTGCTGCGATCAATGAAGCCTTGGAGCGTTGCGCGCTAGCGTGAGCTGCTGCACTTGCGCTACTTTACTGCCCTTGCTCTCTATTCCTCTTAATAAAATTTTTAATGACAAAAAGCATATGTATTTGTGGTTTACTTAACCATGCACTTTCTGTTTCTTACCGAGGCACCATCGTTGTATAAACTAGATAAATGTGGGACTTTTAAGGTTATACTGCTTGCCATTGCTATATGCACCTCAAAGTTTCCCATGCACTGACGTTCTTCCTGACAGTGATTGTCTGACGGACCCGCTTTCTGACTGCCCGATAAACTGACTGCGGTCCTCGCTGACTCACCGATTGACTTACTGCAGTCCTCGCTGACTACCCGATTGACTTACTGCGGTCCTCGCTGACTCACCGATTGACTTACTGCAGTCCTCGCTGACTACCCGATTGACTTACTGCGGTCCTCGCTGACTGACCGATTGACTGACGGGCTTAACACGTTAAGTGCGGACTACCCTCCAGCGCTTGCAGGTGGCCTAAAAACGGCCAAGTCCGCAGATAAGAAGGCCTATTATTCAAAATATACTAGTAAATTCGTAGGTTCCGGTGCAAAAATTAAATTTTCCTTTTTTGCGTAGATTTTAAAATTTAATGAGGTAGTACTGCCAGCATAAATTTTTGTCGACAAAGGCAATTAATAAAAAACTAAATCGCGGAATTTGTCCGGAAAAATAACCTTTCAACCCTCCGGTAAGTCGTGCCGCACTTACCGTGTTAATTCCTGACTGGCTGATTGACTGAGTTATTGACTGACTGCGATCCTGCCTGACTGGCCGCCACCCGCCACGCCTGTGCAGCAGCGCCGACTTCCTGGAGTTAGCGTGGCTCGACAACATCGTAATTGCCTGTCTGGCATTAGCTGCGTTGGCTCGGCGTAATTATCTTCGCTATGATTTAATCTTTTTTTTGCGTCTAAACTTCTGTGCTGCTCACCTGTTGCAGACCTCTTCTAGAATGCATAGTAACTAGTAAAGTAAAAATTGAAAAACGTCGATGATCATTATTAATGTTATATGATGGATAATTAATGAATTTTGCTATCGACCGTTTTTATTAACTTCTAGCGATTTAAAAAATAGTATGTTTCGTTTTAGTTTTTTGATTACTTAGCGAAATCAGAACCAAAAGCGACTCTGAACACCGGGTTTTTGCTGTCGTTATTATGCCGTTTTTATTAATTTGCTAAGGATAAACTAATTACGAGGATAAACTAATTTGTGGGCAAAAAATAATTATCAAATGGTGAACATAACTAATATTGGTTGCTGCAGATTGCCTTTAGAATATGAAGGAGGTCATGAAGCCGCGTGCGAAATTGAATGGCGCGTTGGCACTTTTTTCTCTCGCGTGAAGTTAATAGCTCCGAGTGGAATTAATGACTGTGTGGACTATTGATTGTCGCACGTAGAACAGATCACGAGTAAATGGAAAATTAATTTCACAACTGAATATTGGCCGTGTTTGAAATTGAGGGCCACGTGGGTCATTGAAAGTCTCTTGGGAAATTGAAGTCCATGTCTGAAATTTAGTAATTGATGTCAGTTGGAAATCTTGAAGCACGTAAACCGCGTTAGATATTAAGAGCCTCGTGGAAAGATAACCATGCGCGTGGGCTTAGAGGCACGTGGGTTTGTTAATTAAGGTCCATAAGGTCGAGAAATTGTCACGTTTTTCGAGCGCTGTTATATAACGCCACCTGCGAACTTTTACTCCGGTTTTTTTTCGAAGTTTCCTAATTATTTTTCTAAGTTACATGTAAATTGTGCCAATCTTCTGTTGTCATTTGCTCGTTCTTAGTTTGACTTGAATGGTCTATTTTCTTTGATTATTCGCCCCCTTGCTTATTTCACTTCCCTGTTCGTTTCAATTGTTACCGTTTGAAGTCCTCGACGCTCCCGATTTTATTAACTGCGATTTGCAGATTTTATACTCCCTCTCTGCATACAGTCCTGAGAATGTTTGTATTAAACATGTATATTTGAAAATCATCGAAAAATCAGCTAATAATAAATCGATGTGAAATAAAAATAAAAAATTGAAAAAATTTCTATTCGTTTATATTTCATGAAGAAATGTATTACTCTGGTCCAATCTGCATTATTCAATGTATATGCGATATTTTTGTTTTTGATGATTGAGTACTTTGCATTTATACGTTTTTTATTAATATTTAAAATACGTGATAAAATGCTTCTGTAATATAGTTTAGCTTTATTTAACATCGACGAAAAAAACTTCAAAATCATATTATAGTAATTTATTTAAACAATACCTCAAAAAAGTTTGTTAGCATAAAATTCCAAGTGAATTGACGGAGGTTTTGTGCTGAGGACTTTTTTCATCCAATTCTAATCTCTGTGTTACATTTTCATTTACATTTTTCATTTATATTTGTACGAATGTGTATATTTTGGAGCCCATTTTATTTGAAGTACAGATGCTTTAGCCCCTCGACAGCTCTTGTGTTTGTCACGAATTCACCTATAATTGCTTGTCCTCAGGAATTCCACTTCCCACCTGTACATTTATTATTGTTTCTCATTGTTTCCTGTTTTTTATCATTATTACCTATCTTGTTCATTTATTATATCTATTTTCTTGTAGTTTGTTCCTTTATAGTAGCTTTTTATTATACTCGTAATATGTTTATTTGTCCTCACTGTATTCAATTTACTATCTTTGAACACTTTATTGAAAGTATTTGTGTTTGGCTCTTTGCAGGACTATTCTAACATCTTCACATGTGTTGCGCCCCATGAAAAGGTAGATCAAAATCCAGATTGTGTGACTCAGTTTTGTTCCAGCGTGACCCATTTGTTCCGTGCTTGCTTACTTACATAAAACTCTCGCGCCCACACCGATATTCCGCCTTCATTATAAATTATTCTTTATAACAGGGATAATCAAATTCGGTGTATTCGTGTGAAGGATACTATTCTATATTCTGGAATCTTGCTCTACTGTTCTTCCTTGGTTACAACTTTCTTCTCTTGCATATTTAGAAGTGACCTCGGTTAACTCAATATGTTACGTCTTACTCGAATATGCGTAACGTCTTCTAAACGAAATTCTTTCTTTTCTTATGATTTAGCTTGAGAACTTGCGATTTCATTCTGGGTTCAAAGGACGGATCATCAAAAACTGGTTTACTTAACTCACACCACAGGAATCCCAACAAAATTTAATGCTAATGTTATTCGAGAGATGTTGTCAAAGAAATTTTGATATGAGGGCGGTTTAACAACAATTTTCTTGTTCGTTTGAATTGCCAGTTTTCAAAAATCACAGCGTATGTTTATTTATACGTATAGAAATGTGAGTGCTTCGCATTTAAAACACGCTTGATTCTACCTTAATGCACGAGTTGTGTTCTAATGTTGCCTACGCAGAGGCCATAAAAGATTGTTCGGGCATGTTAGTGCATTTGGTTCTCTTGTTGTGCTCTTTGCATTTTCAAATTAGCATTTTTTCCGCATCCGTGCATTGATTCTCTTAAATCTGGGGGGAGGGGAATGTACAAATTCTTTACTTGTCATCTACAATACTCAGAAGACATTGAAGTTTTTAATGTAAACCAATTAAATTTCTACTAATTGAAATGGGGTTTTAGTGTGGTTCTATGCGTTTTTCGCTTAACTGTTAACTAATCATTGAATAAGAGTGCTCATTGAATGAGATTACCAACTGGTTCTATTTTGTGTAGCAGCAAGTCATATTGTTCCTACGCCTGCTTTCTTCTTCGCTCGGCTCACATTCCTTTTACTAGCATCTGTTCTGTTTTTACGTTCTCTGCTATCTGTTGCTTTCAATTAGGCGCGATATGATAAGAATAATATTAGGCGTAAGATGTATAGCAACGTGTTGGACGACGTCGAGGCATTTATACATTATGTTTTGCCTTCCATAAGATAAATCATGATATAATTCTTTGAAATTGTTGAACCCTATTTGTATTTCATCTGAAGCAATCATAACTGAAAATTTGCACGCTTGATGGTTTTATTCAGTTCATACATTTCTTTGAAATCATTGTCTCACAGATAGGTTTTGATAGAAATTAATGAAGAATTGAACACTCAATGTCTAAGCAACTATGTTTTTTTAAAGCCTGTTGAAACAGCAAGGCGTTTTATTTAATAATTTCTGGAATGTTTTTGGCTATAGACGAATATATTTACCTGTAAATCATGGCATTTTATTTGAATACAAGATTCCAATTGATTAAATCAAACTTAAGGGTACGGTATTGTCATCGCAACTATATTGTGTGAAATTAATATTATCGATTATCAATAAAAGCTTTAATGTGGTCAATAAAATCGTTACATTAAAGTAATTACCTTAAGATTACCGAGAATTCCCGCATGCCTTTCTAGCTTGTCTTTTTCGACTACCGTACACCTCATTTCCAGATTAACATAACGCAAATTCGTTGCAACTTTCGCAGTTTGCCACCCAACTTAATTTTTAATTAAGTTGGGTGGCATAATTTAACGTTCTTAACGTTGGGTGGCATAATTAACGTTCTAAAAGATTTTTTCTGAAGCGTGTTGATATGCTGCCTCGTAATTAACGTTGTCGATGTCGAACATTTTATCGTAAGATTAAAGTGGCGTGTCAGTCGCCAGGCGAGCGGTGATCAAAGGTTAATATCGTGACTGACGTTCGCTCTGCCACTTGATCGCTTACCTTCGATCTTTTGTCTTCTGCCCTTGCAATTAACTCTTGCCAGACGCGCGATATTATTCCTGAAAGGCCAGTTTTAATTTATGTTTTCATGAATAATTTTCATACTTATCCACAACATGCTTATTTTGCACTTAATCTCCGTATCAGAGCTAAGAAACGATAAAAATTAAGCTAATCTATTTATTCTTATTTTTTTTCATTCTACGGACAAAATTATTGCATATGCTAGATAATTATTTCAGTACTAGTCAAGAAGGATTTTAAGAATAATTTTTATCACTGAATTATTTACAATATTCTTATTTAAACTTCAGATCGTTTATTATTGCTTATCATATAATTAGGAGTTATCAACTTTAATTATAGGCATTTAAGTTTTGTATTCATCACAATTACAAAACCATTTTGGTACAAATTTTTTATTTTAGCTGCTGATTCTTGTGTGATTTTTCGGGAAGAGTGTGCTCGGAATCTCAACTGAGGCCGAGTTTTTTTGGATCACGAGTTCCGTTTTGGGTTATTGAAAGAGTGTATTGAGACGGGGTAACCCTTCAACAAAGTGGGTAATCGTCCTGCAGGAAGAGAGTAACTCCCTATCAAGAGAGCATTCCTCCCCTCAGAAAAAGAGTATCCTCCACTTCAAAAAGAGGATATTTCCTCATCAGAAAAAGAGTAAAATCTCCGTCAAAAATATCGTATTCTCCCCGCTATTAAGAGAATAATCTCCTCTTCACAAAGAAGATATTTTCCCCTCAGAAAAAGAGTAACCTCTCCTTCATAAAGGAGGTATTATTCCGTCAATAAACATGTGGCCACTAAACTAATATACCTCCAGCAGAAGATGAATAACCTCTCCGTAAAAAAAACATTCTTTCGACAGAAATAGAGTATCTCACCAGTTAAACTAGGGTAATCTCACGTCAAGAAACGGTATCTTCAGCAGTGTTTATGTGCGCCTCTGTTCCCTAACCGTGACATCCTAAGCTAAGGAATCATGGAGTTGATTTTCATTAAAGATTTTTTTTAAGAATGCGTACGACTTCGTGATCAACACCGAAGATTTTTTCCTATCTTGTTGCGAAACTACCTCATCATTTAGATGTACCCTCATCGCAGGACTACCTCCTCCTCTTCATGTACCCTCATTGCAGGACTACCACGTCATCTTCATGTACCCTCATTGCAGGACTACCACGTCATCTTCATGTACCAGCCTGACGAGCGGTGCCTCGTCTTTGACCTGGACTCTGACCTGCCGTTCCCTACGTACTTCCACAAATACGTCACCGAGACCCTACGCACGGACCACATTCTGCACCCTGAGCATCACAGGTGGGGTGCTCGCAGGATTTAGTAGATCATAAGGTGAAAATCACTATTCTGCATCTCTGGAGGTTGTAGGGACCATGGGATCTACGTACTCTCCTAAATCATGAAAGAATATAACTGCAGTGAGTCGTAGTATCAAAGTTCGCCTAAAGTATACATAACGGCCTAAGCACACTTAGCAGGCAAAATCTCGTCTGTCGCTTGTAAAGCCTTCACTTGTTCAGTTCAGCCAACTGAGTTAAAAAATCGTCACTATTTTTACGATCGTAACTGTAGAGCTTGCTTCATATTGCTGATCGATTTGCTTTGGAGATCGTTCCTGAAAAAAAACACGGATTCTCTAAATGATAATGACTTGTACGCCGTTCATGAACTGTTCAGGTTATTTATGAAAAAAAATATGAAATTCTCATCTGGTCAAGATTCGTTCAGTTATCTTCTATCGGCTCATTCAAGAACGATCATAAATTTTCACATATTATGCCTGCCTATCCGTTTTCATTTTTATGTACTTTACCACCGTGTAAAGTAATCTCAGATAGGAATTTTACAATTTTTTCGGTATACTAATAAATACGTCTTAATTATTACGACTTGCAGTGAATTTATCATTAGGCAACAATAATTATATTCAATAATTACGCGCAGGTGGTTCCGCGTGCTACCGGCGTTGGTGTATCTACAGAAGTTCGCCAGCGACAGACGGCACATGAGGCATGCGGACGGCAGCTGGCTGCAGCCACCGCCTCCCCACCCTGCCATCCGCGCACAAGGTGGGTGATGCCCGCACTGTAGTGCCAGCTGCGGAAAAATTTGTGCCAGCTACGCGGAATAAAGGTGCCAACTGCAAGACAATAGTGCCAACTGCAAGACAATAGTGCCAACTGCAAGAGAATAGTGCCAACTGCAAGAGAATAGTGCCAACTGCAAAAATTCTTGAGTAAATACGTCCTCCAGCTCTTGATTGAATGCAACCTCCAGCTTTATGTAAAAACACTTACTAGTTCTTGAATAAATTTGCCCTCCAGCGCCTAGAGTCACGATGTCAGAAGTAAGCCAGGATTAAGTGCTTCTTCTGGCTTTCTTCCAACGTGCTCTCGTACAAAGAGATCATAAGTGTAGTGAACGAGGAGTCTGAACTGACAATCTCGTTTTCCGCTTCTCATTGGACCAATTCTGGAGGTTTTTATTCCACTGTAAACGCGTTAAAAAGAAAGTCACCGGCAGAAAAATTTTCTAACTATCGCAAGTCTATGAGATCCTGGCTTTGAAATATTGATAGAGTTTCCGGAAAACTGTTTTCTGTACGTGTACTTGAAGAATTACATTGATTTTAGGAGCAACGGTTTGCGATCCTCTATAAAAATTATTTTGAATCGGTCGGTCTTATCTGACAACTGTCACTTGTTATTAACACGTTGACTCCGAAGTGGTACATATGCGTACCACAAAATGTATTTCTCCAGGACGTAGTGGTACATAACTTAAGTTGCTTAAAATCGGCCAAATCCGAGAACAAAAAAGGCCGATAACTCAATATATACTATAGTTTATTTGTAGGTTCCGCTATAAAAATTTCATTTATTTTCTTTTTGCAGTATTTAAAATTTAATTAGGAAATACCCCTATCATAAATTTTAACCGGCCAACGCAATTGAGAAAAACTAAGTCGCGGAATTTTTCCGGAAAAAATAACCGTCTGGCAACCCTGTTTAAAAACGGTACAAAAGATGAAATAATAGTACAAGATGAAGCAATCGTAGTCAACGTGTTAAGACTTGCAAGAGCTGTGTTTATCTAAACTTTTTAAAAATTTATTTCAAGTATGGTCGTTACTTTTGAAACATTACCTCTTGAAACGCTCAACATTCCTGCAATTTCTGTCACACCTGTCATTCCGGTGCAGAAAAAAATTTTCCTTTTCGAATTCCGAGAAGTGTGAATTTTTGGGAGGAGATAATCTATCGGTTTGTAATGTATGCCAATTAGTTACTTCAAATCAAATTAGTATTAAGAACGACAATAGTGATGATGTAAAATTCAAGTTTTGATTGTAAATAACGTGTTGCAAGCTTAAGGTGTCTACATATTATATCTTCGATTTATTTTTGTGCTACCCCTGCAACTATAGACTGTAATTATCTGTTGTTTTACTGTAGCCTAATCATCTATTGTTTTACTAAAGCCTACGGCTAACTAATATTGTGTATTAATTAGATGATAATCGCAGATGCTGTGCACAACCTGGACGAGTTCATCAGCATGGACACGAGCAAGCCTGGCATCGGCGGCACCGTCTACAACCTCACCGACTTCGTCAGATGTTTCTTCAAGGCCAAGTGAAGAAAAAACATCCATGTGGTTCTCACGATTTGTTTTTGGGGCGATAGGGTAAAGTGATGGAAAAGATGAAAGTGTTTCTCACGTTCTTTGTTTGGAGGGGGCGATAGGGTAAAGTGATGAAAAAGATGAAAGTGTTTCTCACGTTTTTTGTTTGAAGGCAACAAGGTCACGTGAAGAAAGAACATCCACGTGTTTCTCACGATTTGTTTTTGGGGGCGATAGGGTAAAGTGATGAAAAAGATGTGTTTCTCACGTTTTTTGTTCGGAGGCAACAAGGCAAAGTGAAGAAAGAACATCCACGTGTTTCTCACGATTTGTTTTTGGGGGCGATAGGGTGAAGTGATGAAAAAAATGTGATTCTCACGTTTTTTGTTTGGAGGCAACAAGGCAAAGTGTAGGAAAAAGGTCCATTTGTTTCACCCAATTCAGTTTGTAGGCGATCTTGCACGTTTTCCTGTCGAAATTTCCACCAATTTTTATTTTGAGGTGACGCTTAGTTGTCATGTTTACCTGTAAAAATCATGGGCGAATAACCATAATCTTTGTGGCCAATTGTCAGCCACAAAGTCAGTCATGCGCTAATTTTGAATGTAGTTGGTTTTATTTCGATATTTTTAGATCATACAAAAACCGGACCTTTTGAATGTACCCATCAGATGGCGTAGAAGTAATACGTTAGTACTTCGCGACAGGTAAAGGTTGAATTTTTCTCGATGGGATTCTTATTCATTTGGTTTGTCGAGTTTGTTAAGATTTTCATGTTCATTACGGCCCTCATCCAACATGTAATTTGCCTATTGTTTCTATAATTTCAATATTGATTTTAATATTATCAATATGATGATGTGAACTGAAAGTCAAATTGCCAATGATCATCTTTAAATTAACTGAACTAAGCGGTCAACTGAACGCAGCGTAGACGTAGGTAGTGCAGTTAGAAGTTAATTTTGCAGAGAATAACTGAAGTGTGATATTTGAATTCTGAACGTAAGTAGTTGGTAACAATACCCGAGTAATTATATGGAGTGATCTTGTTATTGTCTAGTTGTTATTACGTATTTCGTAGTATTTGAATTTTAAATTAGAGTTTTTCTCGGATTTTTAGAACGCCCAACAGGCTCGAATAATTATTTTTCAGTGCGTTAAATCAAAGTCTTTTTATCAAATCTGAGCCGAGGTTCATCGCTATTCATTAAAATTTTCCATTTTCTTATGCATCATCACACATTAAGGCCTAATATTTCTTCAAATTAATAGTAAGTAGAGCAGGTGAGCAACAACGAGTTTGTTGAAACTTGTTGCAAATCATACCGTCGCCGCTAATTTATGCGGTAATTAAGGCGGACATCAACGCTGGGCGAAACCACTTCTCTGTACACGCAGTCAAATAAGTGAGACTTTGTCCAAATAGCTATGCACTTTTTCCACATTGTGTCCTGACGCATTTGGGCCCGACAAAAGGTGTATCAGTGCTACGTATGTGTACTAGTGTTCTATGTAGGAAAATGTATCACTATTTGGACAGTATGACTCGTTAATTATTCTCAGTGTAGGCTTCGTAGAGCCTGTAGCTCTTCGGTTAACCTGTTCTGACAACGGCGTTTTATTCAAATGACGCTTCTTCTCTTTAGGCATTCGCCAAACTTTTCCTTGACCACGTACCCGCTAGGCTAAGCGTGACATTTTTCTGATTCTTCTCATAGTTGTAAGCCGCTTTTCATTTTTGACAATTTTAATATATAAAGGTACTTGCCACATTCTTCTGCATCCGCATATTATTCGGTCATTTCTCCTTCTCTATTTTCCTCAATCTTTCTATCATCTCTCTATATCGCAATACTCGTTTATCTGCGCATGTTATTACCATATATTTTACTGATGTCTGAAGTATTACCCACCTCCTAGCGAGTCTCTGTTTAAACCGAACCCTGCCTTACTTGCCAGTATATTTCTGAGCATTGTTTTCTGATGAAATTAGATGAATGATAGTAATCGCTTGCTTAACTGGAGGGATTTTTATGACACTCGGGGAGCATTTGTAAGTCACTTGCAGTTCTCGAGTCGTCGTACAAACGCTGAATCCTAAACCTGGTATATCACTTTAGGATCCGCATAACAAATTCTCATCACGATGAGAACAACTATGGAAACTGGGCAACTTAATGTGCATCATGAAGTATATGCGAGACATCGACGTCACGATGCTTCTGAAGCACTGCAGTGAAGCAAGACATCGATGCTCTTCCGTAAAATTAAGTTGATCGACGTCAAAATGAAGACCCCGAGTAAAAACACAGAATAGTCATTTTACAAATTAGCTTTTCTATCAATTTCTTACTGTATCGCTTTAGAATTGAGCTAAATTTCTGTTTGCCGGCATTTATGATAACTTAAGCAGTTCACCGTAGTTTTTAAGACCTGAATTGTTCATCAGATTTTCGCAGCATGTTCACAAGCGTTCCATTGTTGCTTCTCTGCGCTGGTAACTTTTATAAATCCTCAACGCACAAATTCAATGAGACACTGGTAGTTAGTTTCAAGGAAACAGTTTTAGTTTAGAAAAATAGACCGTAAAAATATTAACATTACTTTATCTTAAGTTCTCGAGACGAATTATTGCGGCTTGTGTCTACGGATAGCCATGGGGTATTGCCAAAGCCATAGAAGAACCGCGCATGTTTGCCGTTGTGAACATAATATACAAAAGGATAAAAAATAGTTATTCACAATAACATTACAGTCTTGTTATTAAAGCACCTAATTATATATATTATGCACATGCATCTCAAATTTGGTCATCTAACTGTTTGGACCGAATTATTTTTCTGTTATTCTGAGCACCAATTCTCGTTGATTTCTCACTGGATTTTTTTTTTGTCGAGCGCTGATATTTATCCGCGTTTATAACATTATATCTATTGAGTGCTTGTGATATAATATATTAAATTCTTATCTCAATTACTCAAAAAACTTCTCTCCGCATCTTTTAATTCCAACTGAGGTTTTGAATTCCAACTAAAATTTTTCATTCTAATTTATTTTTTGGCATTTTTATTTAGATGTGCTGATTAAAGATTATATCCGATCAAATTAACATTAAAAGTAATTTTTTACTCTTGCAATGTTAAAAAGTTGTTATTCTAATCCAGATCTTGTAAAAATCTTGTAAGATCGTGGCAGTAGTTTTCCGTATATTTTACACTCAAGTTTTTTAAGCTTCTCAACTGCAACGAAGGTTATAAGTTGATCTTGTTTGTCGCTCGTGGTGAAGTTGAACTCTGCACGATCTTGTTGATAGATAGTTTACAACTCATAAGATGTTAAATTACTTCAAAGATCTTAAATTGTTTACTGTAATAGCGTCATTAGTAGAGTAACAGGGAACGCTTGTGATGAAACTTCTCATAGAATCGAAGTTAATGGAGTTTTTTGAAGAAATATAAGACGATTTAAGATTATCGTATTGTGTATAACCTCGAAAGAACTTTTGTATCCTATGCCAATGTTTCATCGTCGCATCTGTTCTAATTCCTCGGAATTCCAAGCATTAGATTTAGGTATTCATGTGTAATGATGTCGATGTGAGTTGTTACGTCGTGTCAGTTATTTCTGTGATCCGTTACTGACGCTTCATTGTACCCTCCGTAATGCTGCCTGTTAACCTATCGAAAAGTGGAACTTATTACAAATGCTGATCCGCGCAAGCTCGGTTTGATTTGAAAATTATTTTTGATCACTGTTATGTTTTGAGAGTTATAAATGTTAGATATACATATTCCTTTAGCATTAGCACTTCGATATTTTTACTGTAGGTGCGTCAATAAATGTAGGTACAATTTATTCACATCACTCATCGATTGTTTTCAACTCTTCTTGACTTCCACAAAGCAATAGGTTATCTTTGTGAATTTATTTCCAATTAAGGCGCAATTTTCGTCTTTTATTCCAGATACCCGAGTATCTTGGCCAGGTACTTTATTTAGTTCAAAAAGTGAATGCATTTTTCAGGCATGCTCCCTTATTGCTTGTCATCTTGTTCCTCTGGAGTAAGCGTCCAGCTTACTGCCTGTTGGCATACTTCTTTGACCTCAGGTTTTTGCATTTAATTTTCTTTGAAACTCAAAAATAGGTTTTGCTAAGTACTTCAACTTTTTGTCAAGCGGATTGCGCTAATTCTAGGTTGACGATGAACACACGTTATTTCAGAATATTTTTCGGACTGAAGCTTCTTGAAGTTTCTCTTTCATATAGTTATGTTAATTATGTCCAACAACGTTTACCTCTTTTCTTTTTAACATTGAAGTTAGGCTGTAAGCCATAATTTACCCTACTCGGTATCAACTTTCAACGAAATTTCTTCCCAACTGTATTTAATAAACTGATAGTAAGAATCTGACTCAACTTAGGTTTTAATCTGAAACGTTGAAGTGTATTTTTCCCACGATCTACTAGACACTCGTGCAAGTTGCAAATTTTCTCTTCTTTGTCTCTGCTTTTTGAGTGCACTTGTGACTTTATTAAGTATTACGATCGTTACAATAAGGCCGCCAATTCAGTGATCCAGCTCTAAACTGAATCGTGTGTGGTGGATTTTTTGCTAGATCTGTCGCCAAAATCATTCAATAGACTAAACATTAGTTGCATCGCATTGTTGCGTTAGCAATGAGGGTATCATGGCCCGACTTGCTACAGTAGATACATGAATGCGACCGAATTAGCTACTATGAGATAATATTGAATTTTTATAAGATAGTCGTTTCGTCATTTAGCTCTTCGGCGGTAGAATTCTTATAGGAATCGCTTTTGTTTTAGCGCCACGTTGGATACTCAATTTGTTACTTTATCTCAATCGCTGTATGATTTCTGTCTTATCTGAAGAACAGACGGTGCTAAAATTGTGATTGACAGCTCTCTAGCACTATTATAATCTTTTGCTAAATAGATGAAGTATTTGTTCACATTCTTCAATTTTCATTTCATATTCTAAGTAACTTCTATGATATCCTTCAGCCTATAACCCTTCAAATTAAATAATACCTCTATTTGTCCGTGAATAGATTTACCTTGCATCCAGAACGTTTATCCTTCAATTATAGTGCGAATAAAAAAAGAAATAATGCGGTTAATGAAACTCAAGTTGTAACACTTCAGTAATGTAAGAGGAATGGTATTAAAATATCTCTAGCAAAATTTAGCCAGAAAATGATAATGTAGAGTCCACGAAGACAGGCCATGTAGAAGGTGTAAAAACTAGGTCGCCACGTATGAAAAACGCAGAAAAAGGATAATTACATCGAGATTATTCGTACATGTAACATAATTAAAATTGATTAAATGTTCTATGTAGAACATCTCCACTAGCAATATTTACACTGAAGTTATTTGGTCAAGCGAGTGGTTTGCCCGAGGAAATGTTGTGAATGACGTCCCGTATTTTCTGCAGCGACAGATTAGTCTTGGTGAGCTCTTCGATTTTCGTATCTCTATCAGCTACGGTTTGCTCTAGGTTCCTCATCATTTTTTCCAGATCCAAGTTCTGAAAAAAATTGCACAATTTTGGCTATATGTGGCTGCATGGAAACGCGAAGAAATATTTCACGTAAAGTCAAAAACCTTCACAGTCGTTCATTTACACACGTACCGTATTCAAATACAAGTTTCAAAATTTCTGGATATTTAATAATCCTGAATGCGAGTCAATGTTTAAAAAAATTTTCAGACAAATTGCCGTTCAAAAGCAAAATATTCTATTATATTCGTAAAAATATTGAAACGATTCAATTTTTCTGAAAAAATCAGGTGAAAACAATTTAATCACATGCACACTAGAAATAAATCGCGCTGACGAACTCAAATCAAACCTAATCATCAATCGTTGCCGTAGATATGAACCAGTTATTTCTTTTATATTGAAAGATAATTGTCCGGTATATCAAAAAAGAACGCGCTCTGACGATATACAAATATATAATTCTGAACATACTTCCTGCTTCTGCTTTGCAACAATTTTCTCGATGGTGGAATGCGTGCTCTGCAAACTCTCCAGTTCCTGTTGCAGGCCTGAAAAAAAACATGGAACGTCATCTTTCGACATAAAACTCCCGACGCAATGACTAAGAGAAAATGCGGTATAACTTCAGCCACCAACAACACACGATTCATTCAGGAATATTTGAAAATAATTCAAAGTTCAATCAGCCGTTGCCATTTCTCATTCAAGTTCAACAGATCCATCAAAACGGATTTCGTATATTCTATAATAAACTTGCAACGGCAGAAGTTCGAGTTTCCCCCAAATTGGAATATATTTTTTCTAAAACTTGTTTCCATGCGAAAACAATTTTTCTTCTATTTCACACCTAAAACTTCTCGTCACAATAATTCTCACCCTCTTTCTTGGATTTTTCCTTTTCAAACATCTTCTGAAGAGAAGCGGTCTCGGCAGTAGCTTCTTCAAGCGCAGAGGAGAGGAGCTGGAGTTTCTTGTCTTTGGTCGCAAGCTCGGCGTGTAGGGAGTTCAGGGAACCCCGTAGCCGGCAGCTCTCTCGCTCAACTGCTGCTTTCTCCTGGACGTGTCAAATAATTAAGTACCAATTGAAAAGATATTTTATGTGCGAGGAATTACAATTTAGAGGTAATCTGTGTTTAGAGTACACGTTTCGGAAAATTGTCCGTAATTTCATCAGCGATAGCAACATTAGATTTGTAAACTGTATCATCAGTACTATAGTGAATGTAATCTATGATAAAATTGGTAGGAATTTATGATGAATAATTTCTTTTCAAGGGTGAATAATATTCGCTACGATGGGCTGAAACCTTTGAAAGCGTTTCTCTGATGGTGCGAGCCTGCTCCTGGTCGGCTAATTTCTCTGCAAGGAGAGACTGCACGCGCTCCTCTCTCGCTCGCACCAAACCGAGGACGCGATGGTTCTGCAATAAACATAAATTATAATGGTATTAATGATGTCAAATTTAAGTGCATCAAGTCATTTTCACTCAAGTCACAAAATTGTAAGAAACAGTATTCAAGTATAAATCGCACAATGATTCCCAACTCAAGCACAAATAACTTTCTTTGGATACTTGTAAACTTATCCCATGAAAAATTCACATTGGACTAATTCCAGAGAAGCGGATACGATAAAACTTTAATAAGCTCTCTGATTAATTGCTTTTCAAAGCTGAATTTGTGAAGACATTTCTGAAACCAAAATTGAATCTAAACTAAAAAATTTCATAAACAGGGCCAAACTATGAACTCAAGACCCTTTAGAGAAACAGCCACCGCCTTTCAAGAGAAACAGCCACCGGGAGTTCTCCCTCAGCTCCTCTCTACTGACCTCAACTTTGGTGCGCAGCAGACTGCGTTCCAGCACTCGCGACTTTGAATCTGCAACGGACAGCAGCTCCTGCAGGGCGGCCTCAGTGTGCGCCATCCCTCCAAGCTTAAATTCGTACATTTCAACGAGGTCCGTCAGTGGCAAGTCGCGCATCTGAAATAGACCATAACTTCACATTAACTGTATATAGTCAAATGGGTTAAGACAGGATCGCAGCCTTCATGGGGTAAGAAAGGACCAGCCCATGGTGTGCATTCTAATTGCACTGAATTCAATTTGACAAAAGAATATGTTAGAACAATCATTGCCTGTCATTTCAGTGTTTGTGGCAACCCTCTTCTGCAAATAATGAATTTCTGGCTAATTTTTAAAGAAAACCTATGTAAAGAAGGGTCACAAAATAGTTAACCCTGTTTGGGAAATAAGCTCTGTCTAATGACAAAAAATTTTTTGGTCAGGTTTGTGGATGTAGGCTGGTAACCTCAAGTAATAGGCAACTTTTTAGACATACTAGGCATTCCTACCTTCTACCATCACTGCCTGACATGTATTCCAAAATGGGGTAAAAAAGGACCGGACATGGGGTAAGACGGGACCACTAAATGATCCTGTTTTACCACACAAGTGGTCCTGTATTACCCACAAATGGTCCTCTATTACCCTACAGTTTATCAAAAATAGTTTTTAAATAAATATATTATTGTGTAGTACATGGAGTATTTTGGTCAAAATTTTTTATCTTTTGCTCAAACTTCATTATAACTTGTTAGCTTTTTAATTAGAGAAATTTAGTGCACTATTTTAAATTGCATCAAAGGGATATAGAAAATAGGGATGTCTATTCCCATTAGTGAGCTGCAGAACTATGTGCACGATTGGCTGGAGGAAAAATCAGTGTGGGACATGAGAAATAATTATGATCACAACTCTGTGACAGGGCATGAGCTATGTTTGAAGAAGCGCACCACAAATGCAGTTAGCCAGAAAACACATGACATCTGACACTGTTTATTCCTGACACTTTATTACTGACATCTGACACTTTATTTTTATTACCAATTTGATAAATTTTTCAGACAACGACACTAATGGAATTTACATGAAGCATTTAGCAGTGCTCTACAATGAACCAAAGCCAACCCACTATTACTATGCTTAACAAAGTTTTCTCGTGACAAAAACTTCAATAGAAATAGAAAGTGAAGAAAACTCCACAAAAATTCAGCATTTCTCTATTGAAAACGTTTCGGAGACCAGCTCCATCGTCAGTTTGATTAATCTAGAACACAAATACAGTCAGAAAATTAATATAGTTTGGAGTCAAAAAAAAAACGGAAGTTAAAACCTAAATTTACAGGCAAAGGGCAGAATAATAAAGAAATACCTATCTATTCACAATTTCTAATGGATAAGAACTGTAGGCAGCATTTAAACTAGGCTTCTCTTTAAAAATATACAATGATTCCAAAATGCGCAGATCGGAAGCACCAGAACTATAAGCTAAAATCTTAAAGTCTGTGTCGGACACCAGAACATTGCACTGTTCGGCGTGAGTGCGCACAGCCAAATGAGGAGGGCGCGATTGTAACTGCCCAGTCCTATAACTCCTCCCTTTATGCTCAGCAACCCTAGTGTAAAGGTTGCGTGCCGTCATTCCGACGTATGCAGATGCACATCGTGCACAACTAAATTTATAAACTGGGGACGATCGCATGTGAGAAGGGAAGATATCTTTGTAACTAAAAAACCAATCTATTTTGAAATTGTTAACCAGTAGGATACGAAGAATAATGTCCGGAAAGTATTTCATAAACATATCTTTTAATTCTCTTGACATAACTTTGGACGCATGGCCAAAGTATGGAAAAGAACAGTAAACTACTACAACTTCAATGTGACAGATATTAGAGTTGACTTCCCGCAACACAAAACAGTAACAAGTGGTTGTTTAATGAAATAATGTGTTTCTAGATGGATAATATTGAATATCAGATTTGTACTTTTATAAAAAACCTTGTAACATAAGAATTACCAGTTGGTCCTTTCTTACCCCAACCTGGTCACTTTTTTAATCTGTACAGAAAACCCCAGCTCACTTTTTTTAATCTGTACAGAAAACTATGTTAGATGCAAAACGTCTGAGTTGTAGCTTAGAAGCACATTGCATAACTAGACCTTGTGATAGGTTTAGGGTTTTTTTAGTTATTCGTGGTATAGATGCTACAGGCTTGTTAGTGATTTTGGTCCTGTCTTACCCCATCTGACTATATATATATATATATATATATATTCACTTTATCCCTAAAGGATCTGAAAACATATACTTCTGTTCCATACACTGCAATCAGGTTTAAATTAGACATCAATTCTAAGATATCACCGTGCTGAACAAATAGGACCTTTCAAACAAATAGGAACCTCACGACTTTCGTGAAACTCATGCGTAAGAAACCCCATTTACTTAAGGCTCAAGTTGAACAAAATCTCAACTTAAACGTTTTTACCTCTTCTGGGGCCACGATGGCGTTGAGTCTGGCCATTAGATCGTCAACCCTCTTGAATATTTCAGAAATTGATCCCCTGTCAGTGGCTGCCCTTTGGAAGCCGCTGTCGTTACTGATATGCATGGAGTCAAAGGCGTCCTCCAAAACACTGCCTCTTCCCACGGCTGGAGACGCGAGAATCTCCGAGTTCTGACACCGACGGTTTTGCTCGCAGGTCATATTGATGATGACATCCAAACTGCAAGCAACATGAATTGATTAATTACTGATACAAGGATAAAATCATATATTAGTAAGTTAGCACCATGCATTTTGCGCATCTGTGAGCTACACAGTTCATGTCAAGGCCTAATCAGAAGCTCAAGTTCTGCTTATAAATGAAAAGCAGCTCTATATTTTTCTAAAATCCTACTATGAGCTGCGATGCTGACCTGTGCGAAGGTCTGACATGAGATCTCTATGCTCCCTCAATTCCAACCCCAGGCAGAGTAACGAGTGTGAGCAAGATTTAGCTTAATAAATTCCCTTGCTTCCTTCATATAGGTGGCATTGTCAATGATTTCAACTGATCCAACCATAACAATTTAATTCATGATAATCGCGTGTATATAGTATGATTTGCAGCACCTGAAGGAGCACTCACAAAATATTGGCTTAGGCACTGTAATCACGAAATGAATCACCTCAACAGTACAGCCCGACGCAAAAGGTTCGCCCCACCCCTTTAAAACATCATAACACATCGAGTTTTGCCAGTTTTAACGTGCAAATGGTGGCAAACGAATCGTCTTGGTCTCAGTAATCTATAGCAGGTGAAATTTGGTGAAAAAGTTGATTACTGGCGGAAAAATCAAGCGGTCCGTGTTTTTGCACCGACGCAAAAGGTTAGCCCCACTTTGCAAGTTTGGCGCTCTTGCGGACAGGACGCAGCGTAGACTCGCTGCAAAGGGTGCGTTCATAGCGCAGTAGTTGTGCACGGATCTTATGCTCACCTAGGCAAGAAATGGGCGCGGGAAAGCCTCTAACTGAGTTTCAGAAAGGTGCCATTCAAGCCCTGATGGCGCTGACGCCGCGGCGCCATCTTCCAACAAGATAATGCCTCAATCTATACGGCGCGCACGACCAAGGCCTTCTTCAAGCGTGCCAAAATCCGGGTTATGGACTAGTCAGCCAAGTCCCCCGATCTGAATCCCATTGAGAACGTCCGGGGGTACATGGCTGGGATCGTCTACGCCTGCGGGAAGCAGTGTGACACGAAGGAAAAACTCGAGCCGCCTGGTCCTATCTGGACTCGAGCCGCTTGGTCCTTCAAGCCGCCTGGTCCTATCTGGACCCCAACTACCTCCGTAGATTGTCTCAGGGCATGAAAAAGCGCTGCTTGGATGTCTACAAAGCCAACGGGGAGCATATCGGTGCATAATTTTTAGTTTTGCAGCTGACGTTGTTTCGTTTTGCCTAAAATGTCAAAGTGTACAAAGTGGGGCTAACCTTTTGCGTCGGTGCAAAAACATGTGTTTTTCATTTTCTCCGTTGCTAATTACATTTTCAAAACAGTCTATTGTATTTTGATTACTGAGACCAAGACGATTCGTTTGCCACCATTTGCACAATAAAACTCACAAAACTCGATGTGTTATGATGTTTTAAAGGGGTGGGGCTAACCTTTTGAGTCGGGCTGTAGTATGTTGCTACATCTGCCATATCACATCTATCTACACATATTACTATCATTAACGCTTGAAATTTGTACCTAATAAGGAAGAATCCTTATTTCATTCATTCAAGAAAGCCAAGTCTCCAGGTATGTAGACTAGATTAAATTTTTTAATGAAGTTTTTAAATGAGTAGAGATGGAAGTCACCTTTATATTTAGCCAAGGATAATGCTACTCTGATCAAAGAAAACTTTTAAAGTCTCATAATTTACATTTAAGAGAATATTTTAGGAGACAGATTTTCTGAAGAAGCAAGTAAATTTTAATCAAACGGTTTTCACGGATAATTATAATTATTAACAATATTTTGCGAAATTCGCTTATATTGCTGACGAAAATTTTCTAAAGATTCAAATAATTTAATTCATTCAACAGTATAACTTAGAACTTATCCATTGATGTGCTGAATTTATTTATTCCCTTTCTCGAACAACACATGCAAGAAACGCATCGATTTATGATTACAAAAAAATGGTACTCCAAAGAATATTTCTGTTCAGAATTAGTTTTACCTTCAACAACACGTGCCAGAAGCGCATCGATTTACGATTAAAAAAACTAGTACTTCAAAGAATATTTCTGTTCAGTTATTTTTACCTTCAACAACTCGTGCCAGAAACGCATCGATTTATGATTAAAAAATTATTGCTCCAAAGAATATTTCTGTTCAGATTTAGTTATACCTTTCTTGAGACGCGCTGGAGTCACAGAGAAGCTCGACAGCGAGAGCCACAAGATCGCGGTTGAGGCTTGCGTGGCATATCATCACGTGCGGCATCAGGTAGCTGCACTTCATGAGCTGGGGAAAAAACTTATTATAAATGAAGCAATTCACACAATAAACATAATTAAAAGATATGTGATCTTAAACATGATCATGGTGCATTGGAGTAATAAGGTAAGCTGAGGGGTAAACTATATATATGGACGATGATCAAGATACCCTTAAATAATAAACCATAATTCCCTTAAATATACATAATCAAATGTGCATAGAACAAAGAAAATGACTATGGTACTTTCAGTCAAATTCCCGATGAATTGCTCGACGGAGTTTGTTAAAATACAACACAAAACATCCGTTTGCTACCAAGTTTAAAAAAAAACATAGAAAATGGTGTTATTTATTTTATAAAAATAGAGGAAAAGGAGCAAGGAAATTTTGTAGTTGATTTATGGTTGACCAAGTCAAAACTTGCTGACCTCGCAAAAATGGAGAGAAAACTGTAGATCTTCCTTGCCAATTTGCTTGACAAGATGAAGAATGCGCACTATAGCTTCAGCGCACAGGAAGCTAACGCTGCTGCCGCAGCTGAAAAGGAAGCTGCTGCTCACTCCGGCGTCGTGACCATCACTGCACTGCGAGCAGTCGCCACCACTAGACCTGTTTATTGTACATACATAAAGTTTGATTATATACCTCTTTATTGGATGTTCACTTTACGTCAACATTAAATACTATACATGTTCATTGTACAGCACCACTAGATCTGTGCATTGTAAATACCTAACGTTTGATTATATACCTGTTAATTGTACTGATCACTGAAGTGGTCGAGACTTCATGAAACTTATCCACGTGATGGTCTAAATTAAATACTGGTGAGGCAGCTATCAAGCTATTTCTTTACTAGTATATATTTATTTACACAAATTAAGATAATTATTTTTAATTTTGCGCAGAAAACGTACACACGCCAACTTTATTATTCATAACTCAAATCATTGAATACAATTTTACCCACCGTTGTTCAAGTGTAGTTCAACAAAATTGATATTTCTCACACCATTAAAGTTTAAACAATAAACCATTAAAAGTACAGACTTTTAAATCACACTGATCGATATGCCACGAATGTCGAACTTTGCCTTTTTTTGAAAAAATATATTAATATAAAATATTTTACAGGAAAGCAATTTCATCTCGGCTAAACTCAACAAGCAAATGACTGAGTTTTACCAGGGCAAACTCTTCACTTAATTGACAAAAGAGAATGAGTAGCAAAATATTCTCTCATTAATTTAAAAATCATCGGAACATTAAAAGCAAACCTGCAAATAAATTAAATGAAATTAAACATTCAAAAATGGTTACCTACACAGCCATAGGCAAATATACTAACTGAATCATTTTAAAAATGGTTATTTACACATGAACATTAATACTTTTTAACATTCAGCACATTCCAAATTATTTCAATAATTGCACATCAAAATCGTCACTCACGAGTTGGCCATCATAGAATCCAATGGTCGAGTGGATTTTGAAGACAATTTTTGTGCAACCAAAGCGCCCTGCTTCTGTAGTTCTGAAGATTGAGATGCAATTTCCGACAGCTTCTCTAAACCTGAGATGCCAGTAAGTAATTAATTCGCCATTCTAGTGTTTCTAAAAAAACAATAATAATATCACTCACAATAAATACCACTCATAATATTCTAGAATTATATTTGCCGTAGTGATTAACGGTGATTAGGAAAATTCATCATGGTAGTCGTTGAACTGAAATTATAGAAAAAGTTTTAAGTGCCGTAAAACACTACCTATTAAAAAAAACATGAATTCAAAACTATTTAACTATAAAAAATAATAAAATAGCAATGAATATAATAAAAAAAGGCAGTACAGGCGGTGAGCTCCGGCGGAGAGAGCGTGACGCGGCTATGCATGGCAGGGACGCGCTTGAGAACCTCTTGTAGCAGCTGCACAGCCGCGACAACAACCAGCACCTGCTCTACTCCTGCACCTCCCAGGCTCTTTTGCAGCACGCTCTGCATATACACAAAACAATAACATGACTTACACAACAGTAGAATCGTTCAGCGTTCGTCTCTAGCATCCTTAGCGTTCGTCTCTAGCATCCTTAGCGTTCGTCTCTATCATCCTTAGCGTTCGTCTCTAGCATCCTTAGCGTTCGTCTCTAGCATATTTAGCGTTCGTCGCTAGCATCCTTAGCGTTCACCTCTAATATCATTAGTGTTCGCCTCCAGTATCCTAAGTAAGGATACTAAACTTGTTAGTAAGGATAATAAGGATACCTAGAGGCATTTGTAATGTTTTAAAGGCTGTGTATAAGGATGTTTGTGTTTTGTTTATATGCAGTGCATGCTGCAACCTCTGTAAATAGGCATTTACTAAAACGCCTATAGCACTAATTTAATTTACAGAAGTTGAGCGTTTCACACAATGTACAAAGGAAAAACATCAAGGGGCTTTTGTACTAATAAATACAGCTGTTGAAGCGTTCCAAATTTCTAGATGAATAACATCGACAAGGAGCTTTTTGTATTTGATTAAATGCAACAGTTGAAGCGTTACAATTTTCTAGATAAGAACATCAATAATGTGCTTTGCTTAAATAAATTATTCAAAGTTTCGGATGTAGAGATCTGGCCATGAATGAATTACATAAGTGCTCTTCACGCCAACTTTCATTTCTGAAGTTAATGAAAAATGGTAAGAAGAGGAGCTGAAATTCACGATAATTAATAGAATTGTAATTATTCGAGCAGTGTATCAGCCACAAAAGAATTCAAGATTCCTTTTCAATGTAACCTTGGTATATAACATTCCCATTTGAAGCAGGACAATTGTTGTCGTGTCTCAAAGGTGGACAAAGACTAACACCTGCATAGTATGGATTATCAGCACTTCTACTGAGAAGGGAGGTATGAATTCCTAAAGTTATAAAACCATAAATTGACACAGAGTTTCACGTTCTACCATTTTATAATATAAATATTTATAGTTATCTTATATTTATTTATTTGTCTTATTTATATTTATATATATAAATATTAGACCAAGATATCATATTCATCAAGGGTATAAGGTTCATTAAGGGTATAAGGTTCATTAAAAGTATAAGGTTCATTAAGGGTATAAGGTTCGAGATAGTATAAGGTTCATTAGGGGTATAAGATTCATTAAGAGGTAAAAGGTTCATTAAGGGATAAAAGGTTCATTAAGGGATAAAAAGTTCATTAAGGGTAAATGGTTCATTAAGGGTAAATGGTTCATTAAGGGTAAATGGTTCATTAAGGGTAAATGGTTCATTAAGGGTAAAAGGTTCATTAAGGGCATAAGGTTCATCAAGGGTATAAGATTCATTAAGGGCATAAAAAGCTTTATTATCCCCTTTATTAATGGTATACAATTCATTAATTGTATAGTGTTGATTAAAGGTTTAAGTTACCCCGGCAGCCACGCAGAAGCTGGTTATCTGGTGCTCGGTGAGCGGCTGAGACGCAGTGCAGAGAAACGCATGCAGCAGACGCAGGCCCCAGTGACTGCCGGAACTCTCAACCCATGTCACAGCTCTGAAACAAAACTAAGTTCATTAGCAGCATCATTATTAATTTATGATGTTCAATATATTTGTGTCATTGAGATATTTACTAGAGCGTTATAGGGCCATGTGTGTATTATGGATTTTGTTGTTGCACAAATGTTCCATATGCAACATCTACCGTAGTACACTTTTTTGTAAGACGCATACGGTACTAAATGGAAATGAACTTGGTTATCATTCTCTCAGATAATTTTTTTGCAGTAAAAAGTTTAACTTGAATTTTCCTGAAATCAGGATATGCGAGAATGTAGAAATTTATCCGTAAGAATACTAGACAGCTTTGCGGCAAATATTAAATTTATAACTGTCATATCACTATGCTTCTTGCTTAGCAAATCTGACTTTTCTATAATCTAAGTAAGGAGGTTTACACAAAATTTTCCGTACTACCATCACAGCTCATTCTCAGTGGCCACAATTTTTCAGTGATCAGCCGTCATTGGAAATAAAAGGAAGATGTCAGACATGAAAAATCAACACAAAATGAAGGTGCTGCATTGTAATCTTTATGCCACGTTATTTTGTTTTTGTCAAACATTCTCACACCATACAGGGTTAGTTGACAGGTATATCTCTTTCAGAGCATTTGGGAGGGTTTGCAAACGATACTACGCCAGGGCTCTCCTCGCCTTTTGTGTGTTGCTCCTAGTACTAACTACTCGTCAGTTGCTTACTTGAATGTGACTAAAATCAACACAACTAACCTTTCAACTGCAATTAGGAGCGCCCCATTACTAGTTATGCTGAAAATGTGGGTGTAACCTTCAGTGTTGGCATAAATTGTTCAAAGATAGTACTTTCAGCACCAGTTTAAATCTCACTGCCATGTCTTATTTGTCAATTTACGTTCGAATATCTATTGCACAAATTTCAATTGTGTTAATTGAGTATACTTTTTCCTCGCATTTTCAAAGCAAAGATGAGGTGAAGCAAAGTGCAGCAGCAAGCCACTAATTTAGATCTTGAACTCATGAGCTGAACCTTGTAGTCAACATCCTGCCCTCCGCATACAATATCTAACATATAGTATACGTACTCAGTGCAAGAGCTCTCATAGAGTTGGTTGCATTGGTTGCTAGAAAAAAAGGCTCCCAGTAGAAATACGTGCAATAAAGCATGTTCACCTAGGTTGCCCTGGATAAGCTGCCAACTTTCCAGGATTGCAGTATATTTGAATATTACAGTACCTCATTGGTTAACTTACAGAGGTTTGGTAATGGCATAGGTGGAGAGTGGGGGGTAAGTGTGGAGAAACGAGAAAGACCATAATATATAGCTTTATAGATTTGAAACGATACAATGGCTGTGGACTGACCGACTCATATGGCTTCATAAACTTAATTCTATGCCCTCTAACATGGTTTCCCACGGAAAATAATATGAAATAATAATGAAGTTGACACACGCACCACAAAGAACCTGGACTCATAAACTTTTTCACGGAAGATCTGGATTTTTGGTGCCTTTTCTTGCTTTTTAATTTTTGCCTTACCTAAGCCAGAGACTGAAAATGTTAAATTTCATTTCTCAAAAGAAAAAATACTGATAGTAAGATCTACATAACGTACATGCTCTGGAAGGTGTATCCCTCTACTCACTTATCCAATGCAGCTGGCAGGATGTCAGCAGCTTGTGGGAGATCGAGCTTGATAAGGGCTGACAAGAAGTCAGATACATGAGGAAGAAGAGTTTGTTCTTCACATTTGTCAACAAGTTTCCAGATTTCCATGATATCACGGCCGCATGTCTTGTTGCTGTAACAAAAAATTAGTTCAAACTCTCAGCAACAAAATGGATAAAATCTGTGAACATAATAATTCAATTAAATAAAGAGGTAAAGCCTGTCACAATTTCTATCATAATAATTTCTATAACAATTGTATCAATGTACATTTGATTCATGATGCAATGGAAGCACTATAATTTGATTTAGTACGAAAAGTATTGTAAAATAAGGTTCCCTAAGTTAAGGATTCAGTCTTTCATAAGAATGAAACTGTGTGTAATAGGCATATACAAAGAACTTAGAGAAATCGGTGTCCAGATCTTTTATTTTCAGACTTCATTATACTTTTAAAAACCAAATAAAAATAAATTGAAGACATTGTTGTTTGTAAACATTCAAGAAAATAAAAAAGAAGTCTATCCAAGTGAAATAGCAATGTTGATTGGGTAAACAAAATTGTCTAACTGATGTAGATTCTAAACCCTAATCTGAATAATTCATTTACAAGGAAATCGAATTTCAGACTTTTGATATCACATTAGCCGTAATAGTATCAGGTAGACTATATAGGTATGTCTCTCAAGCAGTGTCATTACTACGGCATCCACCAGATACCAAACAAGCATTGATAAATTGTCTAACTCAATGCACACAAAAGTTTAATTGCAACAAGAAAAATGTTTTGACGAAAGATCACGAGTTGCACTTACCTAACAAGCTTGGACCGCACTTGTGGCATATGGGAGAAGCTGACGAGGACGTCAGTCGCAAGCTGGATCAACTCAGCACTGCCATGAGAGAAACCTTCTCTACACACAGCCAGGAGCAGCGATAGTGCACGGTCAACCTGATATCATAAGATCTCAAATTATTTTAATTTAACAAAGAATTAAAAATACTGCAAAATAATTATTTAGTGGAAAAAATAAACTAAAAAAATTACAACAATATCAAATGTAACATCAGTGTTTCATACAATACGTATGATACAGGTTGTGTTCAAACCAATTAAAATAACATGGTTGGAATCAAATTATATTATCAATTCAAATAGGTACGATATGAATTTAAACAACACAAGAGCCTTCTCAGAGTGATGGCAACAGAAACCAAAATTTAAAAAAAATAGTAAAAATAAAATAAGAGTATCATTGGCTTCAGAACAAACAATATTGTAGAAAGCAGACAATTTGGCGAGACTGAGATTCTCAGTTTCTGAAATAAAATTAAGTAAACTACATAGTAACTACGTAGATGGAAAAATGACAAATACCAGAAAATGTATCTGTACAAGAATGGTTACCAAGTGCTGGTATGATGAAACACACCTGAAGTATGACCGACTCTTCAGAATCTATGGGATGGACAGTAGTGATGAGCAGCCAAAGCTCCATGGAGAGAAGTTGTGCAGATTTGCTACAATCATGTAGTTTAGAAACCAGTACTGTGAGAAGTCGCTGTTGAGAGATAGAACCAACATAGTAAAACAATTTATTTAAATGATAAGTGATACCTAATGTGAATGACTAGCAGATCCTAAAATTTATAATGGACTTTAAAAATCAATATTGTTGGAATATTTGGGTTTTTATTAGGATTTTAAGATTTAAAAGTCTCATGCTGTTATATTAACATTTAGTACCGTTTTTCTCCACCTACATTAGGATTGGCCCACTGGACCAGGCACTGCAATACAGGCAGGTTACAGCGACACAGGTTGCAGAGAGTAGTCAATGCAGGACACAGAAGAAGCTTATCTCTGTCACCAGTTGTCTCCACACTCTCTATAATTGTGTGCACAAGGTGGGGAAGTAGCGTCGGTAGCCAGGCTTCTTTACGCTCAATCTGCGGTTATATTTTAGAGTTGTAATCAAAAAGAAGAAAAAATTAAGGTAAAATGAGACAAGTAATAAATAGTTTGGGCAAGAAAATGAAAAAATTCAAGTTTCAATTAATACTCTAATGTTTTTTCCATACCTTGATGCCGTGAGTGATTTTCTGCAAGAGAGTGAGCGTCTTCAAATAGCGATCAGCAGATAAGTCAACAATTTGCAGGTATTCACCAAGAACGGGAACCATCTGCACCTCATCCCTGAGAACAAAAAGCTTTTATTCAGCAGAAAGGTGGCAGAACATGTAAATGAGAATAGATGTTAGCTTTACTGGAATTTTAGTATAAATATGTGGTTATACCTGGAATAATTTTTAGAAACTCTTGGCAAAAATAAATACAAGCTAACAAAAAATAAATATAAAAACAAACACAATAAAAAATATTTTATCTTTTTTTGTCTCTGTGTTGCAATTTCTATTTTGAATTTAACTAGATTATGATTCTTGCAAGTGAATTTATTCATTAATAAATACTAATGATTTACATACCTGAGGGCTCTGAGAACAACAGGAGACTTTGCCATATGAGATATTAGTAGAATAGCTTTCCAGGCAACCACGTTTTGGGAATCAGGCTTGGCAAGAAGCATGTCCAAGCACGAGTAGAATTCCAAGGTCTCTATTGATGAAGGTTCAAATGTGGTGAGATCTTCTTCAACAGTCAGTAGCTGTTCAACATACATGCAAGCAATAGGTTAATGCTTTTTTTATTTTTTAATCATAATCATAAAACATTTTGAAAATTGTATATAACCATTTACAGTTCAGTGGTTTCACACCTTTTGACTCGGAAGAGAGTTTCAAAAACTACTTACTATTAACAAAGAAGAGTAAATAGTATTTACTAAGAAAGTAAATATTCTCTTAGAGCATTTCTGATATTAAGATAATGGATTTGTTCAACGCCTGCAATGTGTTGCTAATGTCAGGACTACTGCCCTAAAAATATAGAGGGACCAGATCAGATACTGAAAATTCTGCCAATGTTTATAGCTTCCATTGAACGGTAGAGACAAAGCCTAGAATGCCTTTATACCAAACACAAACAGTGATAATTCTAAACGAATAACTTTACTCAACAAAAATATTATGTAGCATCCATCCATAGGTCATTGAAGTGCCATAATTTATTTGCGATTCTAGTTAGGGTGTAACTTCAGGAATCATAATTATGCAGGGTTTAACTCTAGGAAGTGAATAGATAAACTAGTAGCAAATCCAGTTCAAGGATATCACATATTGAAATAGAAATTTTATATTCATGTATTTTGTTGATCTTTTATTATTGAACCATTAGGGCAAGATAGAGACCAGATAAGGAAATTTCTCAAATAAATACAGGTTCTAAATTCCACTCCCCAAAACTTGAAGAAATTATTTGTACATTCTCATATTTTACCCTCCAAATTCAAAGAAAACAGATCAAGCCTAGAACTTCATGATGTCTCTCACCTGCATTTGTCGTTGAAGCTGAGGCATAACTTTTTCAGGTCTAAGAAAATAGTCATACGTCATCCTGATAAATTTTTTAATTTGCTGCAGGTTACTGCCAGAGCAGTCACTGGAAGCCATTTTCAAGAAATATTTCTAAAAAATAAGTTGCAACTATAATTTTGCTGCTTGATTTACTACTTCTCTAGAAAAATGTTTAGAAATATTAAAAACCATCAATATAAAATTTTAGCAGCATCTAAAAAAATTTTTCCATATGTCACAGGAATGATTGATGAAATTCTCATTACCAGAATCTCATGGCTCCTACTTTCCTAGCCTCAACTTTATGGGAGGATTTTTATTGTTTCTTGTTGATAACTTCTTACCTTGAAACATTTCATAAACAATTTAGGCTCACTTTAAAGGTCTTTGCAAGGGCTATTGTATGGCATCTCTGAAAAAATTAATATGATATTTGTAAGCTGTGAGAAGCAAAAAAAAATTGTCCCAAATTACCCCTGGAAACGGAGTACCGTCAACTGGGGTGACTTTGGCCGCCGAGGTGACTTTAGCCAACGTTTATGATTTTGGTTTGCAGTCATTTGTTTCTATTGTAATTGTGTTATGTAATTGGAACAAAATGGTATCCAATGTAGTTTTTCATATCTTTTGATTGGAAACTGTTTTATTTCAATAATTTTATACCCTGCTTGACAAACACAATCTGAATGCCACAGTACTTTGAAGAAAAAAAAAGCTGCGTGCAAACGTCAATATTTTGAGATACAAAAAGAATTTTGGAATCAGATTTGTTTCACTTATTTTGGTATCTTGTATAATGATTATATCAATGGCTATATATATAGTCAGATGGGGTAAGACGGGATCACAGCCTTCATGGGGTAAGAAAGGACCAGCCTCTGGCATGCATACTGATTGCACTGAGTTCAATTTGATATAAGAAACTGTTAGAGCAACTATTTCCTGTCATTGCAGTGTTTGTTTCAACAATGTACAGCAAATACATGAAAAAATAAAAAATAAAAAAAATCTATATAATAAAAAAAAATCATGATTTTTTTATATAAAAATCAAGTGATTTAATCACATGATTTAATTTTGATTTAATCATTGCCAACCCTGCACTTGGCTGTAGGTATTCTCTTCTGTTGATGTGGCTTCTAGGGTAGGCATGCTGCTGTGGTAGGTGCCTGGGGATCTATGCACATCTGCTCGAGTTGTAGTTACCTGGAAGGAAGATTCTTTTGGTGCACTTTGCAGTTGCAGCAAATTTTTTACTGCCTGGCTGATTTGGTTCACATTGGTGTTATTATTTGAAAGAGGATTTCTGAACATCAAGTCAGTTTGCCTCCTGGCAGAATCATAAGTCATGCCCTCTCGTGTCAGCTTGTCTATTGCCTTAGCTTGTAGGTTGTATCGACATTCTCTGTGACTGGCAATATGAGGTCCTCCACAAATTGCACACTTATAAGTGGTTGATGTGCACACTTCCTTTGAGTGATTTCCTGCGCAGAGTAGACAGCGAACAGGCGCTGTGCATCCACTGGCAAGGTGCCTAGGTCTTTGACATCTACATATAGCATCTGAGTGTGGGTGGGTTGTAGGTTCTTACTTGATATGCGATAAAACCAAAGAGGACTTTTTCTGGGAGTTGGCTTCCTTCAAAATCCACTTTAAGGACCAGGGACTCTTCTTTTTTTGATCCAGAAAATTTTGGCAGTCAGGTGATCTTGACTATTTTGCAGGGTTGTATCTGCAGGTCTAAAAGCTCTTCTATGTTGACATCCAGGCCTACTGGTCCAATGACACCTGAGCAGGAATTGCCCAGATCCAATGTTGGTTTGTAACATTTGATTATCCAGTTTCCAAGCTTGGTTGTTGAAAGTAGTTTTTTCTGTTCCTGTTTTTTAGAGGGTTTAAATTCTACAGCAATAATGTTGTGCCATTTATTAATGCGTACGTCATGGATTGAGGTGTCTTGAATTATCTTTTGTAGTACTCTTGCAACTGTGATGGGGTCCAATGAGATTTTTCTAGTATCAGGAGATAGCTGCTTGATTATCACCGTGTTGTTGTTTCCAGATGATTTATCGCTAGCATTGGTTGGGAATGCTTTATACTGTGTTCTTTTGACAGACAGTTTGGGAATTTTGTTGATGTTAGAACTAGCAGGAGTGGCTGTTGAACTGATTGAGCAGTCTGATTCTTGTTCAGATTCTGTACCAATTTGTCATTTGTGCCTGCTGCTGCTAGGATAAGGAAGCCTTTCTTGCAAGTCCATGCTTGATCTGGTTCTTCTGTCATTTTCTACTGACTTGGGCTTAGTTTGATAGCAGGTGATGTCTTCATCTGATTCATCTGAAGATGGTTGAAGTCCAGATTGCAGGAGAGGGCCAGCAGTATCTTGTGATGGTGTTTCTGGAACAATATTCTCATCATCTCTGCCAGGGCTTGGCATGTCAGACTCAGAGTCTGACATTATGCCCATGTTTTTTTTTCCAATCTCAAGCTACAGCTTGCAATAGTAATGCAGAAAATAAGTTATATGCCAGTATAAATGACAAGATTTACAGCAAATAATTAAACAAAAACAAAACAGAGTACAATTTTCCCCAACAGTAATATAAAGATAGAGTATAGGCTGGTATTGATGTAACAATTTTACATAGCAATTTGTCAATGCATAACAGAGCCAAACAAGTTTTGATATTGAAAACAAAAGCAATGGTTATATTCAAACTACAGAACTGTACAGGAGTTCTACCTAATACCTAATTGGTTTGGGACATGAAACATAAACTTAACAGTAACACATTTGCAATATGATTGATTCTAAAAGATGACAAAATATTAATAATAAAAAATAATAAAAATAATAATACCGTAAAATGGGGTAACTTTGACCACTTTTTTATTTCGAAACAATGCCATTTTTTTACTAGATAAGTTAAACTTAAATTGAAACATGCAAAATACAGGTCTATACTCTAGCTTTACTCACCATAAATTGCTGGCTCCTGCCTCTCATAGTTTTCATGTAATTTCAAAAAAAGTGATGGTCTTTGTTACCCCAGCTCTTGGGGTTTCTTTGACTGGGTGGTAAAATTAATTTTATTTTTTGGTAAAATAACTCCAAATAACTCCAGGTTGTGGTGCATTGTAGAAGAACTCTTCTAGTTACATATGCAAATGACAGATTTTAGGTAAGGTAAGTGTCGTAGTTTGCAAATACGGGCGCCACCCCCCAATGGCAATGGGCGCATGGTGCAATTCTATAGGTTATTCAAAAGAACCTGGTCTTATGTCATTTTGAACTGATCGACACTTCTTTACGGACCGATCGGATCATGTAACAACACAACCTTATCTGGCAAAAGCTTTCTTGCTTCTGAAGAAAGGGGCGGTTCGCTGTGTCAGCTGACACTGGCCATGGGCGGGCCTTATTTGAATTTGAACACATGCATCCATTTGAAATCCTATACCTATAGTCCCATAGTATACGAGTCAAAGAGCCTAAATTTTTAATTCTATATAAAAAATGTACGTTTCTGCATCGATTATAATGCTGCTAACATTAACAAACTTTGAAGTATCTCTAATGCAAGAAATACTTGCTCAAACAATTTTATTTTCAATATAAGCAACTGGATGCAAAAATCAGTTCGCAAGAACCAACATAGCACGGAACAACAGTAATTTCGATTGATGTTAATTTCTAAATTAAAATGTATTTAGCCAGTATTTCTTGCATCAGAGATACTTTCAAGTATTTAAATGTTAACAGCATCAAAATCCACATAGAAATGTAAACTTTCAATAGGTTTTAGACTAAAATTTATGCTCATATTCCAAAGAACTGAATGCAATTTGAAATCAAAAATGACAAATGAATCGATGGCGCTTTCTGGCACCTTCTGTCACAGCTGTTTGCAGTTTCAGTGCATTTTTTAGCATAAGTTGCCAATACGTATTTAATGTAGTCTTCCCTTGTTACAAAACTTACAAAATAACCTTGAATTATTGATTGCTAATTTCTTGCATTAGGTAAATGTTTATGATTCAAATTGATCATAGAAGTTGTACCCTGTCTCTTATACACATCTAGATGTGTATAAGAGACAGGTGTAGAAGCCTGTATTGTTTCGTGCACATAATTAAGCCTACTTATTGCAGGTGTCGCATGATTTATAAAAGTTATTTACTTGGTGTTTTTTGTGCAAGTTTTAGGTATTCTGGTGTGCAACTGAGGTGTATTATTTTAGTTTTGACATCACTGTCCAGTGTCCAATGACATCGCTGTCGAGTGTCGACCATTGTCGCCGTGCGGCTTAGTCGAATTGTCATGGCCTGTCGCCCCTTTATAATCTTCAGACAAAAGTTTAAAGCTTACGACATACTATTTATGTCGTAATTCAACCATGTAAATAGATGATAATTCTGACCATTACTACAGAGTTTTATATGGACGAGCGGCGAGTCAAGTAGGTAAGTTGATTTTTATTGACTTATTCAATGAACTGCTAGTCAAATTGTATGACTTTGTTAGAATTATTTTAGTACAATAATATTGTTACTAATATTGCCATGATCAGACTAATAGAATATAATCAGGGCTTTATGCATAGAAATTGGGAATAACTGGTTCTGAGAATTGAACCTAAAATGTGATCAGTGTGATGATAAAATTGAAAGTACCATTAAGTACATAATAATATTTGGAGAATAATCTAAAATTGATTTGTTATATAATCTCTCAATATTTTAGGGATTTGACATAAGACANACATGTTTGCGAAGTGCAAACCGCGATTTTTTAATCAAACAAAAATTTATGACATTCGAGCCGCGAGATTTCATACCTACTGAAATTATATGATATTAGAGCCGCGATATTTCAGACAAAAATAGGACTTTTCCAGACTAGATGTAGCCAAGGTTTCAATAGAATAATTCAGCCTTAATCAGAAAATGATAATAGTGTTTAAATACAATGCAAGAATTTTATCTACCTAACCTTGGCTGGCTCACAAACCTAGTACTCCTACAGTCCTACCTACTGCCTCTTCTCATAAAGAGAAGAGGAGGGGGAGGGGAGACTGGAGAGAAAGCCAGCCGGGTTCTTGATGCTAGAAGGACCCTTCAGGGCGGCTCAGGCCTTCACTAAATATACTCGTGGTATTTATAGTAGTCCAAGATCAAGTAATATGTGATTTATAGGCGATTATTTACCGGTTAACTTAACGGAATAAAAGGGCGATAGACACTAGAGATGTTTACTACTCGATGAACGCAGCTGACTCTCTCCTTGAGTTGAAGCAAGCTGTCAGCCTGTCAGGATTTTTCAAGACAACGGTTGATAAATTTTGTTACTTTAATCGCTACACATTAAAGCAAAATAAAGTAGCAGGTCTTATTGATATCTCCTGCCTAACTAACGTCCACGCATTACCGATCTCATTTCATAGGAAGAAAGTTGATAACCGAGTGACAAAATTTGGCCGCCCGCCGTTCAAAAGAGTAATGCTCGAATGCACTTGTACTTCAATGATCAACACACAGAGGATGAAAATTTTAATAGTATGAATTCGTCATAACTCGAATCATATAATTGATTTTGAAAAATATCGATAGTGACAACGACTCTCGTGATGTCGATGAAGTTTATGTTGGAAAAATTGGATGATGTAGTCTATATATGATTGACTTTTAGGAGAGCATAACAAAAAATCTTAGCCTTAATTAAGAAGAATAATATATTAAAATGAATTTAAAAGTCGTCATTTATTGAATATCTAAGACAAATCTAATTATCTGGCTTGAAGTACGTTGAATCATTGCTTTACACTGTATAATGACTTCGAAACATGACTTACTTTAATGAACATTACCTGGCAAGTTATTGTCAGAAACTAAAACTGAAGCACGCAAACGTTGACAAAATATTTCATTTGTGCTTTAAAGGTTTTCAGACAAAATTCAAATGTCCAGTCACGCCTTAGAAATTATTTGCTCCTGGGAATAATCTGATGAAGAGCACCAGTTTAGAACCTAAAATTAGAGGTGGCCTGACCCTCTATGCTCGCACGGCTTTCCTCAAATTGGTCAGATAGCTCACGACCTTCGAGACGCTCGGGTGCGCCCGTTGCTGCACATGCCCGAGCTCGTTAAACTCTGCGAAATTCTAGATTAGTCGATGACAGTGTTGTAAATTAGTAAAAAAATGTATCCGTTTCGCGGTAATGGAAAATGTCTTGTGTAATAATAAAATTAAGGTGGACTAAATGAGGGATTGAGAGTACGTATTAACTCCTAATTACGTGATTATATGAGAACAATAATTCATTTTTCTTAAAAAGGCCGCTATTGTAATATAAAAAGGTGTAATTTACAAGTTGAAAATTTTTTAAACGGAAAATTTTTATGATAAAACTCAACATTAGTCGAGTGCCTCTTCAAGTGATTTTTGTTAGAGTGAGAGAGGAAATAATGTGCGTGGGAAGAGCACTTGACCCAAAACAGAAAATCACCATTCAAGTCTAGTGTTTAATAAAAACTATGCTCATTTTAGGGGTCTACGAGCTTCCTGTAGCAGGGTCCAAAGTGGAATAAGCCTGGTTTTAAATGTATTCAGTTCAAATTTAATCAAATAATGGAACCTTGATCATAATTTAGAACGTATCGAAACGAACAGATCGATATGAGTTCATGTGTTAGAACTGAGCAGGTTAACAATATATTTAGATATTTTATGAGCCCCGCGAGCAACGCTCTTCATGTTATTGTAGTGAAATGAGATAAAATTCCGTGAAAATCGGCACGGAATGCCGACTGTTGATAATTTCATCTGCGACCAATGCTAGTGCCTACTCAACAAATTCTCAAGGGCGGCTCGAGCCCCAACCCTGTCGTTGAGAATGACCCAAGGAGACCACAGACATCCAGGGATAGGGAGAGATTGGACGCAGGAAGGAGAGCTCTCAAAGAACTTCTCAAGAAACGAGAAGAAAAAAAGAAGAAGAAAAGATCCTGCTCAGATATCCTTAGGCTTTACACAACCATCATCGGTGGGCTGTTGGTCATTGGAGGTTTGATGGTACTGATGTTCCTTGTTCCGATGACCATCGATCCTGCAGTCGCAACTCTAACCTTCGAAATTAATCCCGAGCCTTCGATTTGCATGACCGTGTCTCACAAAACAATCCTGGGTCTCAGTAACACATCTTGGTGTTCGTGCACGGAAGGTTGTACTTCCGATATCTTTCGATGCTATCAAATAATGGTGGCTTATAAAAAATCGGCGGGATCTTCATCAAAACGACGTGCCAGGTCTATTGCATCAGGACTAAATAACTCACAATCTGAGTATAAAATAACTGAAAATGAGATGAAATTCATTTCAACACACACAACCGCAAGCACTTTACAGAAAAAAGAATCACCTATCGACCTACAGCTTACTAATTTTACAACAGATATTGATGAAGACCTCCGAAGAAATGAATTTAAAAGTCCCACAGAAATAGTAATGGAAGTTGGAGAAGAAATTAAGAACGAATATTATCCGTACGACGACATCACTGATGAAGATCTCTCTCAAATAGAAGTGCTAGAGAACTTTCCTGATTATATTGCTGACGATCTGACAGATCCGTATAGCAACGATCTCTCTTTAGACCGTCGCAGGAGATCTTTGGATCTCAGTGACTGGGACGTCACCAACGCGTCACTATTTATCAACGTTAAGGGCTGTGGATATCCCCCTGATGTAAACTGTACAATTTTTGAAATTAAATATAGTAAATTAGGTCGAAGATTTTACTGTCACTTTAGCCAATTGAACCCGTACTTAGTTTTAGACGAGTATGATCCTGACGCCGCGACACTAGACCTGTACTATTCCATCGGGGTGCCCTTCGCTGGAATGATCGGTGGATCAATTCTTATGTGCCTCATGCAGATGCCTTACAAGAAAATAATCAAGCGTCTTCGGCGGAGGAAAGTTGAAAATACACACAAGTAAGTCGGATGCTATCTTGTCTATATTTAATATTATTTATTTACTTAATTATATTAATTACATTTAATTGGTCAAGACAGACAACCAATTCTTGCATTGGAATTGTCCTGCGTACATTATGACTCCCGCGTAGATTTAGAGTGCTGAGCTGGAACGATTAAAATACGATTCTTTGCACGTATTCAGCCGTTAACGCAAAACCCAATTCGCAATGGTATCTAGAATTTTTAAAAAGACGAACCTTTTTGAAAAAGCAAGGTTAATAAAATATGAACTTGAGTTACGTATACAAATTCCAAAAGCGTGATCTGACTTTCTAAAGAATCTTCCTTTGGGAAGTTTCATGGACCTCCTTACATCCTCTGTCCATTCTTTCTGGAATTCAGCTCTCGTATTGATTCCGAGCTCAGTGTTGTGACCCAGCAAGCCTTACTTGCTGCAAGCGTGGCCTTAAGTTATTATTGGGCAATATTAATAGTAGAAAACAACGATGTTCGTATATTATCTATGTTTTTCATCTTCCTGCGTTAATAGAACATTCACCATAGCGACAAGGTTCTAATAGTCATGCTGTTCCCCCAAGTGTTTATTTCAAGGGGCCAGAACTGAAGTATTTAAGTATAAAGTATATATCACGGCATAAAGTATATACGAAAATGGTATCCATCATGCGGAAGGTATATTTGGAATAAGTATCTATAGAATAGAATAGAAGTGTTGGCACTGAAGAAATTTGCCCATGGCCTGTTGCCGATTCTTGTACTTTTCGTGACTTTATTCACAAGCGATCCGGCCTAATTGGAACTCGATCTTTCCATAACTGACGATTGATTGAGATAGCTGCTGGACTTATTGCAAGGCCCGTAAGGTGCTAGGCATTTCAAGACTGAACATATATGCATCTGCATAGCTTCGTCTAGTCTGTTCTTGAAGGCTATCAAGAAAGCATTCGCAGGATTGAAGAACGTGAGTCTATATAAGCAATCCGCTGAGACCTCTGATGCATATTGGGTTCATAGAATCTTGAGATGAACATGAGTGGAGAAACAAATAAAACTATAAATATCGTCATAATATCTTCAGAATAAGGCGTCGTTCATTGAATTTTTTGTGAGCGGAATAATTAAAGGTCTGAACGGAGGCGGTAAAAATAATAGCGCCCCATAGTATAGTGTCATGTCTATAGGGCTAGAAAAATTGCCTTTTATTAAGAGTGTGAATCAATTGCCTGAAATGCGTCATGAATTTAGATGGGCACTAATTGGACGATAGGCATGAAGTCGATTTTTTGAAAAGAAAAAAAAGATTCAGCTTAGTGAGGAAGACTTGGTCAACCATGCAAGTATTCTTAACAATATTTAATACCATGCATATGTTCGATCTAAACCTGTATCTCGTAATACCAAGAGTACTTTTGTGTATAAGAAAAGTTTAAATATATATATATATGTATATTTTGCCAGAAGAAATTGTACAAACCCAAGTGGATAATTTTATTATCGCACAAACATTTTTTGTATATTCGAAATAATTCAAAAACCTTCAGATAAATCTACTGAGTATTTCTGAATATTATAATAATGATGAAAAAAAATTATTTCGCATCGCAAGTAGTAAATTTTCCCGGATAGACACACACTATTTTACACGTGAAGATTATAAATTTGTTTGGTTGCCTTGGCTTGTGTAATAAGGCAATGCTACAGAATTGATTGCCGTCACAATTAAGGAACGTGAGAAAAAGAACTAACTGTACATCGCAGCGATATCTGTTGATATGTTCTACACAAATGGCAGTTGCTGTAGCTAACCAAACCGGGCGCGCTCGACTGCATTAAAGTCAACAAGGATGCCAGGTAATTACATTAATTGTAGGCCGTATCGATTGGCTCGGCCAGAAGCGTACATAACAAGGCAATTCAAGGGAGGGTTATGCTGAGCTGAAAAATAATTGAAGGCAGGAATTGGGCTTGTCAAAGACAATTCGAATGTTGAAAAAAGAATTGATAAGAGCTCGTCTTTGGTATATCATGAGGAGTTAGAGAAGGGGTGAGGGAAGCTTGTTGAATGTATAAAGACGATTATAAAAAGAATTGAAAAGTGAATTGTAGGAAATTGATATAGAAATTTATTGAATTCAGTAGCATATTCAATATTGTTTTTTATTTATCGAAAACGAATGGACGGAGGCAGCTTGTCAAATATGTAAAGGCAATAATAAAAGTGGTTCGTTGAAGCCGTGCAAATATGACGTCTATATAAACACAATCGCATGTACCAATAGAAGCTGCATTAAATCACTGATGCTATTTTTGCAAAATCGTGACAACAGAACGAGCCACTCACTTCACACTTTTTCGATTAATTTGAAAGAAATAACCAGTGCAATAAATCACGAATGTCCGACTTGCTGGAGTTATTGACGTCGTAGATCGTCAAGATCTTGCTTCGAGGGAGCCATAAATTTCCGAGCCGGAATACCAAGTTGGGGTCCATCGATTATTGAGTCATTTTTTGGAGCAGGTTTTGGGCAAAAAGAATGAGTTATTTTGGAGCTCAATTCAAAGGATATCAAGAGCAATCAGCTTTGAGCTAGGAAATTATATAGAACTATATCAACACTAGCACTTTCACATACGTAGAAGTTCAAAATTTTCATACTGCGATTAGAACATCCTTTATAGAATTTTTATGATCAGTTTGAATTAAAAATTGATGTATAAGGCATGACTGCTAAACTCCTGCAGGAACATTGGGTTTATTGCCCAGGAACCACAGAGTGAAAACAAACATTGAAAATGAAAACCGAATAAGTAAAATGATATTATTCTTTTTACCTCACTCTTGCACCTGAATCTCGAAACTGGTCCCTCGAAATAAAAAATCGGGAATCCATCGCTACGTATTCAAGCAAATTTGAATACAAAGAACTCGGACTAATTGACCAAGATCGCATCAGCTCATTCTAGGTGTCAGGAGTTATGGAGAACTTCAGGCTAAAAACCGCAGCGTCAGGCCTCTGCAGAAGCCGTAAATTTGGCCGCCAGAATACCAAGTCAGGGTGTCGCCCCTCTGAGGCCAGCACTGGTCGATATTGACCTTCATATGAGGACGTCTTATGAGGGGCAGCGCCTCTTATGAGGACGTCTAAGCAAAGCCTCTTATGATGACGTCTTTGAGCAGCGCCTCATATGAGGACGTCTTTGAGCAGCGCCTCATATGCGGACGTCTTTGAGCAGCGCCTATTATGAGGACGTCTTTGAGCAGCGCCTCATATGAGTTTCTGCAACAAATTAAATGAAAGAGAAATAAGTGAAAACGTTTAGGACTAATTTACCCGCACTCAGAAAAATATATGTCACATTGTCTAAATAGTGACACACATTCGCAACACGAACAAGGAGCGGACGTAGCATTGATACGGTGTTTGTCGGACCAAACTAGGTCATGATGACACACGCACACGCGTACAAAAAGCGCATAACTATTTAGATAAAATGTCGCTCTTTTCCGTGAATGAGTTTCTGCGGGACATTGGTCCTCATACTGCCTCCATAGCGCACAAAATTTTAATTGTAACAAGTATTATGGAATATGCCTATTTCAAATTTACAAGAATCTTATCCTCGACGCAAGTTGAAGGCGAGTGATCGAAAGTTATGCCCCGTTTTTCAGCTGGCGTCTCGAGACTGCAATGTTTTTTTTTCTGAAAGATTTGATGGAAGAGGACGTATTATAAAGAAATTAAAATCTATTAATCTCCATCTCTACGTTTGTCAGCCATTTTATCATGTATAAGGTGTGCACATGGTTTCTGATGAAGAATTTACACAATTTTATCTGCGTGTATCACAATTTTATCACAATTTTATCTGAGATAAGAGGTGTCATCGTTGATTAAGACATTAATTATAGCTGTCATCAACTATGAACATTACTGAATTTTCACAGCTTGTTTGAGGTCTCGGACATGCAGCTCACTGTTCCAATTTCGCAGTGAGCAACCTGGGATCGAACCCGCAACTGAGTTGCTGGGATCGAACCCGCAACTGAGTTGCTGGGATCGAACCCGCAACTCACTGCTTCATGCATCTATGCGCTCATGCAGCCGCCCTTAGTAAAATATCCTTAGACTCGCTGACTCTAGACAACAACGGTACACAATTAAGGCACCTTCAAGGTTTTTAGCGCATTTATGGACAGAAATGCCCTATTGTGCTCGTCATGTCCGTCCGTCTATCCGTCCATCCGTCTGTCTGTCTGTCTGTCTGTCTGTCTGTCTGTCTGTCTGTCTGTCAGTGACTTCACGTTTTCGTCGACGAGAAAATGCGCTCCCTGTCACTCACTGCTATGAGTACTGAGTTATATTTTTTACAGGTGTCGGAGAGCTGAAGTTAATCAACTCTTAGAAAATGAAAACATCATCTAATATTTTATCTGATCTTGAACCTCATGATGGAAATATTTAGCTTGCGTGTGGTTGCAAAAGTTGCGTGTTGCCTCACCTGATGAGCTAAAACTCCTGCCCTGTCACAGTGAGTCAGATTTGTTTCATAGAGTGACTCATCGCATCAGCCTTGTGATCTTCACTGAGAAAAATAACTGTTTTTTTATTGATCTAAGAAAGTCAAGGTCGTTAAATAATTGTGCCAGATTATTTCATACTCTTGAAGTTTATTTTATTTTTCGACGAAGCATTTTTAATTGAACCTTTTAGCTGTTGGAATACCCTTGAAGTTCATTTCTGAAATGAGCTTCTCTTGCAAAAAGCAATCAGTAAACTCGATGACCATAATTTGTATTAATTTTGTGGGAATAGTTTCATAGAAATACAAAGGCGTTTGTTTACAATATTTATACCTGGATTATTTTTCTTTGTCATATTTCCTAATGCATTTTTCCCAACCACGTACAGTAAGCATTTTCTGAAGCAATGAAGAACCAGTATCAACTAAGAGTACCAATACCGCCTTTAGAACTATTGTAAGGCGATCTTCTGAAGT